TAATCAAGATGCTCTTYAATTAGGAGTTGAATTGWGAGAGCWWYGTGAATGATTGTCCAACTATGTGATTCGATGTGGTAGCTTTATCATACCGTTGGAYAATACTTTCAAGGTCTTGCTTCAAAAGTTTTCAGGTTACGTCMAATCGGCCATCTTGGAGGTACTATACGATTTCTCATTATTATTATCTATTGTTCGTACCTCCCAATGGTTCGCGCTGTCTAAATGGTGTATTGGTATACCTGTGTCTACACCTAATTGAAAAAACGTAGTCGTGTTCGAAAAGCTCACATCATAGAAGCTAGAAGACCGAAAGGGATTTTGAGTACCACTAAATTGGGATTACATTTGCATATATGCGGTGTTCAATATGGTGCACGGTTAAGCAACTAGAGCTAGTAAGATTAACAGCATGCTAGTCTTATATGCTGGAGAGCTGTTTGTATGAAATTAGCCAAAATTGTTTGTCTTCCCAAGTACCTTTTCGGTCTTAGCTTCTATGATTRGACCTTTTTGGACCCGACAACGTTTCTTCAATTAGGTGTATATACTTATACATGTGTTTAAAGAACGAGAAATTCTTATATGTAGTGGCTACGCGTCAACGCGTGCTACACGTCAAAAATAGTATATTGGTATACCTGCGCGTTGACGCATAGCCGTTAGGCGTTAGTTGTCCGAGGTGCGGGGTATTCGATAGTTGTACCGATATTTTACAGTTAGACGAACCACAAGAGACACATGAACATATTGTAATTATATTATTTATTTTTGTCTGGTTCAATAAYATTCACAGTATCCTTGATTTCATTATTACAATCAGTGCAGCTGTCAGGTTTTATGGAATCGTCAGATAGTTTATCATGATTGTTATCATCACTATCAATGTCATCATCATCATCATACTGTTCTTTACTTGCTTCATCATCATTGTCTCTACACTCTTCGTCATTATCAGTGCTTTCATCTTCATCTGACTCTTCTTCGCTGGTTATAATTTAATAACATTAAATTAACATTAATAATAATCAATAACATTARAATTGCAAACTTAKAAAAATGTATRAGTRTAAATGTTCCCTACCCCCACCCCCTGAGGTATAATCTACCTGTCATATTTCCTTTGATGCTGAAGGACATCTCTATTTGGATTAAAATGTTCAAGATCCATGTTAATATCTGTTAAATCTGAAAAAGAAAGCCACAAATTATCAAAATAATCTATAATTGCAATAAAAAATAGTAAAAAGGGAAAATGTGTTGGGTGCTGATCGCCCCTCGCTTAGGAAAAGTTATATAAGCGCTATATAAGCTTAGATTATTATTAGCATGGGTGCTGAATTGCAAAAGACGCAGCTCGACGCGCTCTCAAGTTTAAGTGCTATATTATAGACGCATTTTACATACACTTACACATAGGCGTGCTGCTGGCTAGGCACTTCTTTTAATACATAGAATACGTAGATTGAATGCGGAGCACAGCAGATAGCAATGGTTCATTTTTGCTGAGGGAGGAAAACCCAGAAAAGATCCGGAAAAACCCTCGACAAAGAGAAAGAAGGAAAGAAACTCAAATCACATATGCTGCCCTGACTGAGATTCGAACAGGGTCTACAGAGGTGACATAGGCCAGCGCTTTCACCACTCAGCCACCCTTGCGTTCCTTAGTACTCTCAGTTTTCTAGGTCTGATTCACAATGTTTSCTGACCATATTGAAAGGTAGGATTRTCTTTTCATTGAAGAGAGATGCCCAACAATACAGCAACRAGAGAAATTCCTTCTTTTGCACTTCATTTGACAMTCATCATTTAAAGACATATCAATGCAAGCTCACCAGTCTATACTTCTCAAAATAACACATGAAATTACACAAGACTACAAAGGAGATTATACTGGTAAAATTGACAACATACCATATGAGGAAGATTYGGCTGAAGATTTTTCTTTTTCACATTTTTCAATCCATTTATTCTGAGTTTCAATGACTTCTTGACCGTTTTTACAAGAGGCGTATAAATCCAGCAGCTCTCTGTATAAAATATTGTGACTAYACTTAGTGAATACTTTTTTTCTTAGGCATTTCTACTCCACAGGACTTCTAGGAGATGCAAGTATGAAAAACATTCTTCTATTTTCTTGGTACCATTTCYTCTTGGTCAAGATTATTAACACAGGAAGACCAAGACCAAAAACTCCCCTTGAATTAGAGTAGCCTGTGAAGCAGACTAGGTTCGTCTATGGTAAGAGGAATAAATCGATATATTTGTATGATGTTAATTACCTGTTTAAAGTATAGAAAGTTTTCCCCCATTTGAAGATTTTTAATATTTGGTTGCCAATTTCTTCTAGACCTAAATATCAAACATAAGACTTTATCAAAATCATTCTGACAATTTTTCCATATTGCTACAAAGTTGTTTTTATCATTTGATAATTTATTGTGCATTTAGTCCTTTCAGTCAGGTATATATAATAAATGAATACTAATGCTACTGAAGGACAACTTCATTACTTTGAATACTAATCATATAGGACTATTACTGGTTCAAAAAGAATATTGCTCTTRTACAACATAAACTATCAGTGCATAGAGCCTGTCACTTCAGAAACTTTTGTTSTTGAATATAAACAATAGAGCAGTTAAAATCTCAGGTATTTTGCTGTGATAGCTGGAAACTGGATGTTCCTCAAAACATCATAGTTGGAACATTAAGTATAATGCCCTCAATTCAGCTACTCTATTGTTTAAAAATAAAATTACAATTAGGAATTGAATAAAATTCAAAGAGACTGGTTCAGTTGTTTTTCTTTTGTCTTATAATATACTTCTATTGCTGAAATGGTTTTTATTTTTATTTGACAATATTCTTGTACTTGGAGAATGTCTTTATAGCTATAATATAAGTAATAACGCCAGATAGATTACTAATAATAATAATACCTGTGATGTAAAGTGTAGCTGCAAATGCTTCAACACAAGAAAGTTTGCAAGGATGGCCATAGTTGATTGGATTAGCAGCAACAAGATATGGCAAAAGCCTTGGAAATCCACCATGCATTTTCTTGAATGGCGTTCCCTGAAGCTTGGCCCATGAACAATCAATAACTGCAATACCATGCTCTAAGACAATCTCTCTGTCTTCAGGTGAAAGGCATTGGGTACCTACTGGACTGAGGATTAGTCCTTTGAACTTTTGTGATATTCTTAGTGTTCTTACAAAACCATGTCTTGAGAGCTTTTTGCCTGAACACTTTTTTGGATCACAGTGTTCCAAATCCTGACATCAAACATTGAATCATTTTAAAGCTCATGTGAAAAATGCTGAGTTTACAAGTACAGTTATTGTAAATATTAGAGTCAAGCTTACCCACATTGCCAAAGGAAAGGGCAAACCTCTTCCAAAACTACTTCCCGAAGCTTCGTCTAAAATGAACAATRRGAGAAACATTCTTATATATTAAAAAACTTATTGGTTCAACGTRAAGCRTCACTTTCAATCAAAATTATCTGAATACAAACCTTCATTTTCTAAGGATGCGCCTTCTTCATATCTTAAGCTTTTGTTCAATTTGCCTTTTCCATGGGATCCCTTTCCTTTTCCTYTATGCTTGCCCATGAATAACSAAAGGAAAACAAAGTTGYATAAACTTCGTCAGGTTATGTTCCATCCGCCATTCTCCGCCATTTTGGTTTYGTTGTTAGTTACCAGTACTTCTGGGTACGACTGRACTGTCAAACACAGAGTCTGGCTCTAAMTATAAATAATTCAAGACTCTAAAAAAAGGGTTTCAATTTCATAATTTCGAAAAAATTAAATCTAAGAGGACGAGAAAGATGAATATAATAGTAGGTGTGTCAGTAGTTGTACATTTTTGGATAAACGCCAGCAATTCAAGGAAAGATAAACAATCTGTCACTAATTGTCACTTACATGGYTGATCGCGTGACCTCTAAGTGATMTATAAAAATTCACTTAATGAAGTAAAAATTTCTTTTCAAACCTTWTTAGAAAGAGGTAATAATAAAAAACAGTTTCCGGATATATCTATTCAAATATTTTCCTCATTCTTTTTCTTAATTTCGGTTGGTTCCGAAACCGGAAGTTGTCAAGGCTCCTCATATTTCGCATAATTGACCGTCAACTTGCTCCTCTGGGACTAGCAAGACAAATAAACTCGAGTTTCTGTGATATTTTGTTTCATTTCTTCTCAGGTAAGGTCGAAATAATTGTTTGTTGTGTGATGTGTGTTTCGTGTGATGATTGTTTGCTCAGAAAAGCATTGGAAACTTTCATTTGGAAAAATAGAACAAAAGACGATGCTCTTCGGCGGTATGTCAGTGTCGTATTCTATTTCTATCGAAATGAATCGCAAGTTTCGTAGGTGGAGACCGCATGTTTGTCTTTATACATTTTGCGAACTTCCGTGTAAGAACTTTAGGTTGCTAATAGCTCAGCCCAAATTTATCGGTTTTCGATTACTTTTGATAACTTCCTATTCGAAATTCGTTGTCTTCGTGTTCAGTCGGCATTGATATCGATTTGTGCTGTCCTTAAAAACTGCATTAATTATGTCATTTTTTAGTTTTTCTGTTTGTACGTTTATCATTCTTAATACCGTCTGCAACTAATCGCTTTTGCCCGCGACTTCAGGAACTTCTACATGTTTTCTCCACTCTTYTCTATTTAAAGTATTTTATATATTTTATAAACCGACGCTTCGACCCTCCTTACATCTTAGAAGATGGTTCCGCTTCACGSCGAAGGAGTTAAAAAACCCCGGTAATTTAGTGTTTATCAGTCTAACTTTCCTCGAAAGAATCTGCTAGAACATGATAAAAGTTATTCTATAACCGAAATTTAATATCTATGAAACWTTTCCTRCCAGTGTTATCGCTTTCGACGCTTGTGAAGATGGGGACGGGATGCGATGTCCCGAAACATCGTCATTGAAAGATTTGTACATCAAAGCTAAATCTTGAAAAGATTGTCCAACTGAAGGCGAAATAATATATATTGAGCTATTTTGTGATCTTTATTTTGTCTTTTTTCGTCGCAACAAGGAAATTGAATCGCGATGTTGTTTGTTTTCAAGGAGTGCTTGATAATTGCTGTACAATCGGTCATCATTCGAAGCCTTAATTTTTGCTTTTATTTTAAAAATTCGGAAAAAAATTAATGCAAATGAAACAGTTGTTGACATCTTTTTTCTTATTTTTAAAACATAACTATTAGATTTTTATTACAAAATGCATGTTTTATGTTTATTTATTGTTTAGATTAATCTTATGAATAATTGTATGTAAAGTTTTTTCGAGTGAAGTCAAAAACCCGCGAAATAGCTTATATTACTGCTTACTCTATGTCTCACTTCACAATAACATTAGTCAGGTTTGCAATGACTTCACTCTAGAGCTGTGCACAAAATAATCAAATATAACTAGCACAAACTAGTGTAGATTAGACAATAGAAAACAATTCGTATATTTCAGTATATATTTACCCAAATTTAGCACTATTTTTTTATTCAAAAACTCATACATAATTAATGAGTTATTAGGCCAATAAAATGAGCCTATWTAATCACATGCATGGACCTTTATATCAGATAAAAGTGTGACCTTTATCAGATACAAAGGTCCATGACCCTAGCAAAGGTCTCAGGTTTCATACCTGATCATTGACCAATGCAGGATGTCAACCCATTGCAGTAAAACAGCCATTAGCACTTCTATTTTACTTTATGCATATTCAATGTGGGATGACAAGAGTGCTTTGTTAAGTGATTCGCACATGATCAGTTTGCCCCATTTATCTCAATACTTATTTTCACTGCAATTTCTCCACAAATTTTAACGGATTTGACTTGGAGTTTTTGAAGCTGTTTAAAACACTCGAGATCGTGTTTTAAACTATACCTAAAGTTTTTCCTGCTTATAATTTTTCCATTATACATTTTATTATTTTAGCATATGGCTGCGCAACCAGTAGCTGGATACGAGCGTATGCAAGAAGATCCAACAATGGACAAACCACCAATAATGAACCAGCCAGGATACGGACCTCCAGGCTACCCTGACCAGGGGTACCCTCAGCAAGGTTATCCTCCTCAGTACCCTGCTGGTCAAACAACAACAACTACTAATGTTGTTGTTGTGCAGCAGCCTACTTTTCCACAGCAAAGGAATTGGAACAGTGGCATGTGTGCATGTTTTGATGATTGTGGTTCATGTAAGTGAGCACCAATGCCATTTTTAAGCAGTTTTAGAGAAGCTTGTCCCTTCCTGTCTGACAGGAAGACTGACAAAAGKGGAGGCTGCGAAGGAAACTCTAGATAAGCAGGCTTATATGTGGTATTGCAATAACCTGGATAAATAAGCTGCTGCTAATCTTCATGTCTTGTATTTATAATTAGTCACTGGTCTTAAGACAGAAGTCAAGAATGGTGTAAAAATGTAATATTTTGGACATTAAAATATCAACCAATAATCAAGAAATTTAATACTGACTCAACAGCAAAACATTTCATGTTATCACACAAATGAAGACACCAATAGAATTAGAAACCTTTTCCTTACCCTTCTACSATGTTATCTTTAAGGCTGTCTTGGTTTGATGTGCCCATGTTTCTTGTTAATCGATGTTTCTCAACGCATGGGTGAGGGATGCTGCTTTCCTTGTTGCTGTCCTGGGGCACTGCTTGGTCTTCGTATCAAACTAAGAACAGAGCAAAATATTCAGGTATCAACAACTAAATCATGATTCATAGTGATATGATATATAAATATATATTTTTTGTGATATACAGATTCATAAGGGTAGTTCTTATGTAGCTAAATGACTATTGTTTAATACTACAACAGTTTTATACACAGGGATCCCTTATGGGATATTACTTTTGGCACTCTTGTTTAATACATGCACAGGGATCCCTATTTATATATTACACTCTTGTTTAATACACAGGGATCCCTATTTATATTCATTACACATGAAATATACATTTTAGCACTCTTGTTTCATGGAATATATTTCTGTTAACACTTTTGTTCAATACACAGGGATCCCTGATGGATGACTACTGTGTCACGCAATGCTGCGCAACGTGTGTTCTGTGCCAGCTAGCCAGAGAACTCAAGTTTCTTGGACGTTAAAGTTAACAATCTATTTACACCTAAATTGTATTCTTCAGTGAACGTAGCAGTTTATAAATGTTGTTTATTCTCACTGTGTAAAATACTAAATAGTCATGTGTGAAACATAATGATAATATAGTTGTCAAACAATAACTAGGATGACAATTGCTCAGTAGAGTGAACCCACTTAATCTGTAGAACTATAAAATACTAAAAAATAGTACTAAATATTATGCCAATACTCCAGTTTCGAGATCTTATTTGTGCAACATATTCCTTTAATTCAGTAGAGATCCTATTGTTATGCAAACACTCTGTGTACAAGGAAGACAATAAACATTTATACTTGATTGAAGCTAAGCTTGCACAAAAGAGAATTCGAAACTGGAGTATTGTCTTCTATTGTCTATAAATGACCACTTTTTAAGGGTAATTTGGAAATATTTGTCTCGCGATTTAGTGTATCCATTCTGATTTAAAAATCCTTTATCATATATCATATAATACCATAATCTTGTTTGACTGTAAGTGAAAATAAGCGATCAATAAAATACTGATTTAGTATCAAAATTCCATGTTTTCAAGTCGTTCTATATAAATATGACACCACAAAAACAGCAAGATGATGACACTTCCAAGATTATTTTACAATATCACTTTGCAGCCACTCGGTCACTTTTATGACCTCAAGGGAGTGTCAAATAAACTACGATCATAACAACTCAAAACCCGTGCATAAGTTTGTTAGACATAAAAGCGACAAGAAATTAAAGTGCTAAATATATTCACCGTCGAACAAATAGCTATCAAAGTGATTTTCCTCACAGCAAAATAATTCACGACTCACCTTACTTGAAGGACGGATCATTTGAAGTGGAGAGAGTTGAAGTCCTTAGGTGCTCTCTACGTCACATGACTTCCTTTGATGGCGCGCCAGACCGCGCATTCCGAGAAACACAGAACATTCCAGGACCCCATTCATGTGAATCCGACTGAGCTTCCGTTTAACGATTCTTTTTATCCGAATAATCAATGAAAAAAWTTTTTTTTCTAAAATTCAGCAATGCAACTTCCATCATGCATCATTTTACTATTCATATATTTGTAAAGTTACCTAAATTATAAATGAATCACGACCCGGAAGTCATTGTAGACCGCTTCATTATAATCAGTCCACAGAATMTTTGTGGACTATTCACCCAACCGCGAACGGCTGACATATAGTTCTACAGAATACTTGCTACAACTTTCTCTTCAGACAAGCTGTTTGTTTTCTTCTGATCACAGGTAAAGTTGAAGAAGTTGCCTGTTTGAAATGTTATCCATTTGGTTTTGCACCAAAAATCAATTTATATTAGTAATCGGAAAAAGAATGTACATGGTTGTGCCACACCTTTTAGTGCAGAAATGAATTCGCCATCACAATGCTTCCACGAGTTTCTCTAGGGATTTATGGAGGTCTAACAAAGCCTGAGATAGGTACATTTGCCAAAATTAATATTTGAATTCGTTTTCCAGTAAGCTTCTTTAATCCCAGTGCGGCTTGTGAAGACAAAGTTTCACGATCGTCGCCAAAGTTGAAAAGTTTTAATACTAAAGTAGACTGCCGGATCAGTGGGTGGTCAACTGCAAACGATTGGCAGCGAATTTCCTACTTTAAAACCAACTTTTTCTGCAAAATCTAGTCTCAAAAATTTGTCTACAGTCAATTGCTAGCATGATGACTATATAATATTGACTGGGCACACATTATCTTGTTATATCTATTCAATTATTATCGAATTATTAAGTACGAACACCTTTGTTTAGTTTTTGTTCACAACAAAATGAAAATGTTTTGATTGCGTCAAAAATGGAAACATTTTTCACCAATTCTGTTCTTTTTGCTTGCTTTGTACGAGGTAAAAGCGTGAAACGCAAACCTAGTGATTTTCAGTTGTCATTTAATACTATGAAAAGAGGAATACATGGAGGGTAAAAGAAAATCCAACTTAATGTCTCATAAAACGGATGTCAATGTTAGAGTGCTTTAATTATATATAATCCCATAGAGTACAGTTGTATTTGGAAACCGTACTGCTGCAGATCAGAGTCCTGAAACTTTGTTGCGGTACTACTGTATTAAGCCTGACGGAWCTTAACATTTTTTACCACTTTAGCATAAATTGAAAAATATCAACTGTGTACGTCTAATCCCGTCATGGACAATCCGACAATTACAACCGAACCAACAGCGCCTCCAACATATCCTGATCAGGGGTACATTCAGGCAGGGTACCCACAACAAGGGTACCCCCCTCCACAGGGCTATCCCGGTCCTCAGCCGTACCCTCCAAGTCATCAAACAACAACTAACGTTACGGTAATACAGCAACAGCCTACCGTAAAACAGCCAAGAAAATGGAGCTCTGGCATGTGTGGCTGTTTTGAAGACTGTGGTTCATGTAAGTCGCATAAATCTCGCCACTTTACTTCACCTTCTGTATCCGACATGCACAAACCATTCATTAGGGCCCATTAGATAAGCTCGTATTATTAGAGCAAACGCAGGAAAACCATGAAATAAAATCAAACTAAATACTAACAAATAGCGGCTATTTAGAGACAATTTGTCAGTAGTCTATCAATGAACCAGAACGCAATCAAGATGAATTTAAAATGGCCTCATGTGGATTCATCTTCATTATGATCTGGTTCATTGATACTGACAAACATCTTCTGCCTCTGTTAGTATTTAGTTTGATTTTATTTCATTGTTTTCCTGATTTATGTATCATTTTTTAAAGGTTTTTTGGGAATGTGTTGTCCTTCTTGTCTGTTGACTGAAGTATCTTCACGTATGGGAGAAGGGTGCTGCTTCACTTGCTGCTGTCCTGGATCGTTGCTTGGACTTCGTATCAAACTTAGAGTAGAGAACAATATCCAGGTATGATATAATTATAGATACTAGATATTAATTAATTAATTAACCTTTGCTACGCATCGAGATTGTTTTCAACCATTCCCATGAGAGTGAGCAAAACAAAAACGTCCACCAGTCACGGTGGTGGTTTTCTTTTGTCAGGTCCACCAGCAATGGCGGACATCTTTTGTTTAACTTTCTCTCCTGGGAATGGTTGAAAACCATCAATTTAGAAGAAAACGTTTCGCCTTCCTTGCCTCTTCAGTTCTTAATGTTGTTTTCTATATTGTATCTTCAATGTTAAAAAAAAGTACAAGTGCAATAGTTGATTTTAGAGTCCTGGGATCAAGTGTTTTTTTCGTAGATTATACATTTGGGTTTAGGGGTTTCTTGACAYTAATATGTTACTATGACAACAGGGTTCTCTAATGGATGACTACTGTGCCGTCATGTGCTGTCCTTTGTGTGTCTTGTGCCAGCTGTCCAGAGAACTCAAGAGCCTTGGACGTTAAAAYTYCCCATTTCTGCACACTCAAACAAATAAGAATAAATCTTATAATCCACAGAGTGYCTGTCTAGAGACAGAACTCAAGCACCTTGAGCTTTAAAATACCCAATTTGTGCACTATCCCATATTGCACACAAGACTTTGCGTTCTGGCAGCTGTGCTGTGAAACAACATCTCAGCCACAAAATTCAGATAATAATTAGCAACCATATATAAAACTAACTAATAATAATMATCATAATACAATAATGATAATGATGACAATAATGATAATAGTAAGTCAGATRTTAAGCCAGTGAGCACTCAATGAAATGATGGTTGAAAAGTACATCAAAGGAAGATATTTTACTGTCTTTATATGTAAGGGTCAGTGGATGTTTCACAAGCAATTTCAGTACAGAACTAACAATTAATTAATTATCTATAAATCATTATATTTACAATAAACCAGCACTGGGTACTGCCTTTCAAGCATTAAAGTCAAACAATGTTATTTTGGCTGTTTAAGTCTGTTCATAATATGCTGTATTTGACCACCGTTGAGTAAGTCAAAGTCTTGTAAATTAACTAAGTGAATAAGAAAGTTTCTCTTGAGGTTTTTGCTGAGAATGTCATCATAGTGTACATCAACAAATGAGCAGCAAGCTTTGAAGACTTGGGAATCAGCCTGGTAACTGAATGAAAGAATGAAAAATCAATAATAATGTATAATATATTACTGTAATTTTCATAAMTAATAATACAAACTCCAATGGTTGAAAAATAATCTACATTAGGCATTAATCCACTGATCTGAGCTTGCCACACAAGAGCATATCTACAAAGGTATCCTGCCCAGGTCTCAGAAAATCATCAGGAAGAAGCTACTATTACCCAGACATTGATGGGAAAATCACACAATCTCTATTTTTGTGGAAGCCCATCGACACTGTCTGCTTTGGAGGTCTCAGCTTCCTGGAAACCATATCCAGGGACTAGGGACTACAAAGAGAAGACCTTTCTATGGCCAAAACAGACTGGGAAATGTGGCGGCRTGTGCCCCRGCTTTCAGGGACTACAGAMGGTGATGATTTTAGGCATTCTTGCTTTTGCCCAACATAATTACAAATTTTTATGAGCCGAGACTCTTTCCCCAGTACAAAAACAAACTATTTGGCTTCAAAASTCATTATCTTGTCTCTAAAAAGCTCATCATAAACTTGATAAGTTTTGCTTACCAGTGATTCATCATGTGCAGATTCCATAGTTTCATCARTTCCTTCTCACCATCATTTACATCAGTAAACTCATCAATCATCTRAAGCAACAAGTAAACAAACATCACAATGGGATCCCTGTGTCATTTAATTATGGCTGACATATGGATATAGGGCTGTGTTTTTTATGGTCTGACAATGACAATGCTACAAAATGCATGATTAAATTTTCTATCAAGGAAAGCCTGAGTTTGGATGAGTTTATATGTTGATTTGTACATAGGAATAATTAAACAATGTAAAGAAATGAATTGTACTTCAACTTCACACCATTGACATGAACGTACGTAGTCATATAGTTTATTTTGTGAATGCACTACAAGTAAAAGCACTCAGATATGTTCGAATACTGGAATAGAAGGACAAAAGAAGACTGTTTGTCGCCTGTTGCCTTGACAACTTCAAGTTTAACAATAAAATGAATCAGCTGAACGTCCTTATCATCACAGTTTATCTAGTGAGCCGATAAGATCCCACAAAAGAAGTAAAAAGCAAAAAAAAACGACACTAATACATGGACAACTGGACTGTTTAAGTGTGTTACCTGGACTGTTCTCATTTTCATCCAGTCAGGATTCTCTTCTGCTTCACTATCAGACATATCACCRGGATCTGCTTGCAGGTTGGGAAGGCATGTCGGTGAATGGAAAAAGATTCTGTGAAAGCAACAAACTGTTCATCGTAACTGTTTGACAAGAAACTATTCCCAGTATTACAATCAAGGGAGAACRGCAAAATGCTGTTAATCACCTCTTTAATGYAGCTGTTTTGTCAACYCGTTTATCAACTCTAGATTCCGCCATTTTGTTTTGTAAGATAATTTTCCGCTGCCTTTTAATATTGCTGGCGATTCCCAGAGGAATAGCGTGGGTAATGAATAGCATTTTGCCATGCTCCCTTACAATTATAGCTTTAGTCCTTATAACTGAAGATAAAAGCTTATTTCCTAAATGTTAACAGACAAATTCTGACTCTTGCTAAAACTTTAGCATTATATTACAGCCTGGGAAATATCCAGAAACAGTTTTGCTAAAATGTTATGCATCTGTAAGACATATATTTGTCTATAGATACATGGACATTGCRTGGCTAGTGCTGAGTACTAACATGGCAGTACCAACCTCTTGTGTCCTTTATGGTATGGTCGATTGGATTCAAACTCAACATCATCAGATTCTAGAAACTCAGACAAGCTCTCTCTTCTACGATCRGGTCTGTTGTATGGAAAAAAGAAATGGTATACGTTTTATGTCACAGCTTTCTCTGTCAAAAAACTTCAGTTATTGACCAAGTGAAAGTCATTCATACTTGTCAGTTACAATATGACCAAGGCAAGTATTGGCAAAACAGGAATGTATACACTATCATCCCAAATTAAAGAACAATTCAAGCTGATTACCAAGATGAAGAATTATGAATATGACTAACCTCCATAACAGAACATGAGTCTGAGGGACACGCTTGAATGGTCCTTCTCTRTTGAATGCAGACCCTAAAATTTCATTGATCTCTTCCATTTTGCCAGCATACGAGCCATCATAATGGTCATTTACACAAACATCTATGCATGCTCCTTTGCTGTGTGGCTAGAAAGACAGACACTAGATGTTAACAAAAACAAAAAGGCATTTAATCCATATGATTTTTTTACAATGGTATTGTTTTGAAATATACTTACAGCATAAATGAATCTGAATCGACTATGACAAAGCTTTAAATGTTTYAGAAGACAGTAAAGATCATTACAATTGATATTACACCAAGGACAGTTAGTATCATCTCTTGCTTCAGTCTGCTGTCTAGTGTGACTGTTATAGATAAATTGATAGTAGATAATTTGYTTTTTTGTTGTGTTATCAGTGTTGTCAGCAKTCTCCTCGGGTTTTCTTTCTTCTGATTCAGTATTAGCATTACTAAGCTGATTGTTCTGTGTTAGTGGTAATGTTGTTGGTCTGCAAAGTGGTGGCACAACAGCACTGTTTGACCAGGATAACTTAAACTTTAGTGTAGGACCATATGCAAACACTTCAAATGGACCCATCTGAGAAAGATGAGAATGCATTCAATAACWTSATTGCTTTGAAAGCTCAAACAGATATAAATCAGTAGATTTAAATTTTTCACACTAATGCAATAATACTCACATTCCCTTTGAAGATATTTTCCCAGGAACTCTTGTTGGACAACAAACCACGTTTTCKTCCTGGTTTTTTAAACTTTTCTTGTAGTGCAAGCTCGTAGTTKCCATCAGTAAGCAAACAGTTTCTTTTGTTATCAAACATAATGAGTTCAGCAGTGTATAAAACATTTTCTACATGGTAATCAGGACTATTTTCCGTATCCTCTTCTTCTTCACCATCATGGTGACTGTTTCGTAGTCTCTTTGCTGGTGGTTCRTTGTTTTCTTTGCATGTTTTGTCTTCATCTACAAAACATAAAAATTCAATGTGATCCATAAAACAAGTAGTTTCCTTAAGCTGTTTCTKGAAGGCAAAACGAGAGGATTTAACATCACAATATCATCATAGTTACCATTGTCATGGGAATCCTTCTTCGCTTTCTTTGACCCTTTAATAGGAACCTTGTATGGAACTCCTACTTGAATCATTAGAATATATGTCTTGCTAAATCCTTTACTACCTTTGAAGTTAGTATTTGGTACGGATAAGATTGCYGATGAGGACACTGGCAATAACTGAGATGTTGGGTTGAATGGAACGGCAGCTTTRCCAAGAAGRACCTGATCAAACTGCATGTCACTTTCCTAAATAAAATATTMAAAAATAGCTGCAATGAAAAGGTTACAAAGACTAACAAAGTTGTTGTTTGCTGACATTTTGGGTACTGCTGGTTCATTAGAGTAAAAGATAAGACACCAATACAGTATCTCAAACATYAGTAAGTTTTTAAAGCCTTTTTATAGTTTTTTTTTTTACAAAAATTCATTGGTAGCGTTGGTGCCACTTTCAACTAAATAGCATATTTGATGCCAGGATATTGAATAAACTGGAAACAAGTCTTTACAACAAGTTAATTAAGTATCAGTTAATGATAGGCAAACATTGATTACAAATATCAGTATGCTTAATTACCTTCTTTCTTTTATTGGAAATTTTGAGCAGATATACTTCAACTGTTACCAGATCATCACCAAGCATTCTTTTCTTTTTRTTGCTGCCTAATTCTCCATTTACTGAAGAAAAATACATTCACATCAAATACGCTTATTGACTGAAAATACTTGGAAGGTCAAAAGACAGAATACCTGGTCCAGATCCAAAGAAAAAGCTATTGAAGCTAAGATTTAAGTACCCACTCTCTTGGAGTTTACTATGAAAAACAAAAACAAAAAATACAAAGTAATTAAAAAATAAAACAAACTATTTGTTATCTAAGAATCAATTTAAATATAAATGACACTATTGATTAAATAGCATTATGCAGTGATAAGCATTGCCCTTAAATAGATTTTCCTGACACATTCACCCGAGAACAAAATGATCTTATAGTTATAGTCTGATAATGTGCTGTCTGCCAAAAACAGTTCAAATATTGATGGAATATTTTCATAAAAATATTGCTTACTGGAATAAATGTCAGGAGAAATCAAGTATAAACGTAAAGTGGAATAATGGAAAGGGATGAAATCCCCACTCACCTTTTATCCTCCATTTCTTGTTCTCTTTTCTCTACTTTCTCTAGCATACTGTCAAGTTTGAACTTCTCTCTAAAACAAGAATCAGAATATACTGACTTGTGATCAACCTGGAGCAATTGATAATAAAGGAATTCAGGATTAAAT